TTCCAATCCATGAACATGGAATATCCTTTCATTTGTTTGTGTCATCTTCACTTTCTCTTATCAGTGTTTTATCCTATAGTACACGCTCCCACCACGTTGGTCCAGCCCACTGTCATACCTTGCGGGGATTGCTTCAGGAACCTCCTCACTCTCACTTTTGCCCTGCAGTCTTTTCACAATAGCCAACATTGTCCTATAACAGGTAAATCCAATCAAGTCACTCCTCTATGCAGAGCCCTCCTGGGTCCCCATTTCATTTGGCCCTATGTGACCCCATCCCACATTACCGTTCTGACCCCAAGACTTTGGTCACTCTGCTTCCTCCCCTCTGGCCTCCTTCCTGCTCCTTGAACATGCCACACACATTTCTGGCTCAGGACCTGTGCGCTTACGATTTCCTCTGGCTAGACTACTCCCCTTCCATGACAAGCAGAATTCTAAAACGACCCCTGTGATTCTTACTCCTGGTAGCTACACCTTTGTGGAATCTCCTGTTGCATATGAATAGGACATGTAACTTTATTTTTTTTAAAAGTTATTATTGGGGTGCCTGGGTGGCTCAGTCGTTGAGCATCTGCCTTCGGCTCAGGTCATGATCCCAGGGTCCTGGGATCGAGCCCCACATCAGGCTCCCTGCTCGGCGGGAAGCCTGCTTCTCCCTCTCCCGCTCCCCCTGCTTGTGTTCCTGCTCTCGCTATCTCTCTCTCTGTCAAATAAATAAATAAAATCTTTAAAAAATATATTAAAAAAGTTATTATTTATTGGGGCGCCTGGGTGGCTCAGTTGTTAAGCGTCTGCCTTCGGCTCAGATCATGATCCCAGGGTCCTGGGATCGAGCCCCACATGGGGTTCCCTGCTCAGTGGGAAGCCTGCTTCTCCCTCTCCCATTCCGCCTGCTTGTGTTCCCTCTCTTGCTGTCTCTCTCTGTCAAATAAATAAATAAAATCTTTTTTTAAAAAGTGATTATTGGGTGCCTGGGTGGCTCAGTTGGTTAAGCGACTGCCTTTGGCTCAGGTCATGATCCTGGAGTCCCAGGATCGAGTCCCGCATCGGGCTCCCTGCTCAGTGGGGAGTCTGCGTCTCCCTCTGACCCTCTTCCCTCTCATGCTCTCTCTCATTCTCTCTCTCAAATAAATAAAATCTTAAAAAAAAAATAAAAATAAAAAATAAAAAAGTGATTATTTATTTATTTTAGAGAGAGAGAGAGCATGCATGAGAGCAGGGGGAGGGGCAGAGGGAGAGAGAGAGAGAGAATCCCAAGCAGATTCCGAGCTGAATGTGGAGCCTGACACGGGGCTTGAGCCGATGACCCATGAGATCATGACCCAAGCTGAAATCAACAGTCAGATGCTCAACCGACTGAGCCACCCAGGAGCCCCAAGGACATGTAACTTCCTTCTAAGCAATAGAAGATTATGGTGAAAATGATGAGGTATCACTCCCATGATTATACTATATTATAAGGTAAAGGTGAAGGGATTTGCAGATGTACTCAAGGCCCCAATTATCCAAATTAACCAGTTTCACTTTGAGTTAAAAGACTAGTGGATATTTCACTATGTTGTACACCTGAAACTAACATAACATTGTGTGCCAACTGTACTCAAATAAAGATATTTCAAAAAAAAAAAAGAAAGGAAAAGAGCAATAACAAAAATGTCGGTCCTGGTGGGCCTGGCCTAATCAGGTGACCCCCTTAAAAGAGGCTTCCCCGGGCGCCTGGGTGGCTCAGTTGGTTAAGCGACTGCCTTCGGCTCAGGTCATGATCCTGGAGTCCTGGGATCGAGTCCCGCATCGGGCTCCCTGCTCAGCGGGGAGTCTGCTCCTCCCTCTGACCCTCCCCCCTCTCATGCTCTCTCTCTCTCATTCTCTCTCTCAAATAAATAAAATCTTTAAAAAAAAAAAAAAGAGAGAGGCTTCCCCATGCTCAGAGACTTGAAGTACCAAAGAGTCTCTCTCCCTCTGGTGCTTGTCTTGAAGAAGCAAGCCATGAGTTCTACAGCTGCAAGGAACTGAATTCTGCCAACAATCTCCCAGGCTCTGGGACGGAATGCAGTCTGGCTGACATCTGGACCTGACCCGCTGTGAGACCCCGAGCAGAGGGCATGGCTCAGCTCAGATACTGTGGGGTAACAAGTGGGTGCTGTTTTAAGCTGCCCGACTTGTGGTGATCTGTTATGTAGCAATAGAAAACAAGTCCACCTTTCAGATATCCATCTGGCTTGTTCCTTAGGTCCTTCAAGTGTCAGCTGTCACCCTCACAAGAGGCCTGCCCTGAGCCCCCTGAGAAAAACTACAACATGTCCCCCCTTTCCTCCCTTGCACTGACCACCTCCTACCCTACTGAGATGTGTTTATTGCTTAATGCCTCCCCCACCCTACTAGAGCCAAGCCCCCGAGAGCAGGGATTTTTGTCTGTGTGGGTCACTGGTGTCGCAAGCACCTGTGTTGGGAGCCTGTGTGTCTTCAGATGAAGAGCCCTGAACAGCTGATGGAGTGCCAGCCCTGGGGGGCCATTATGCTACGGTAATTTATGTGCATGTGTTAGCTTGGGTGAGGTCAGTGTGCCCCACGGACAGGCAGGAGGCCTTTCTGGGGCTGCCTCTAGGGTCAAGCCTTTGGCCTTCTAGCCCGACAATGCCAATGAGCTGATCTGCGCGAGAAACAAGATGAGCTGCTGATGGGGAATCAGGTCAGCCTGACCAGCTCCTCAGTGCCGGGCAGCTCACATGAGTGGCTCAGGGTCAGCCGGGCCCTGTGACCTGTCCAGCCCCAGCGGCCGCAGCACCCTCTTTTTTTTTTTTTTTTTAAGATTTTATTTATTTATTTATTTGAGAGAGAATGAGAGACAGAGAGCATGAGAGGGAGGAGGGTCAGAGGGAGAAGCAGACTCCCTGCCAAGCAGGGAGCCCGATGCAGGACTCGATCCCGGGACTCCAGGATCATGACCTGAGCCGAAGGCAGTCGCCTAACCAACTGAGCCACCCAGGCGCCCCACGCAGCACCCTCTTTGAGGAGGGTCAACAAGAGTGCCGCAGTGGCCGGGGCCATCCCAGTCAGTCTCCTCTTCCCGGAGGGCGACAGCTAGGGACTGGCCCTGCTGAGTCTGTTCCTTCTGACACTGGCCTCCTTTCTTCTGTGCTATTGCAAGATGGGCTCCCCCCGGGGAGCACTCGGAGGTAGAGTTTAACCTGCAGGAGGTTTATTACCAAGGGCCCTGGGGACCCACAACTGTGAGAGGGAAGGGGCAGAAACAGGATTAGGTAGAGGGAGAACTTCCATGCGGGCCTCAGTTGGCCCTATGGGGAGTTCAGAGCTGAAAGAGTCCTTCATAGTTGCCCACCATGGGGCCAGAACAGGTATTGGATGTGAGCCACCAGGGAAGGGTGTGACCTTGGGCCAGGCCACTCTCTGAAGCTGAGGCAGGCCCTGGGTGGGCTGCCAGCCAGAGTTTATCGGCTGAGCACACTACCAGCTTCTGGGGGCAAGTCCCTTCCTTTTTTCCCCCTAAGATTGACTGATTGATTGATGTAATCTCTACACCCAGTGTGAGGCTCAAACTCACAACCCTGAGATCATGACCTGAGCAGAAACCAAGAGTGGGACTGAGCCACTGGCATGTCCCTTCTTGAAGGACGATTGGTGCTGAGCATCTCCCTTTTCCTTGACATTGACCAACATCCCCTCCACTGAGGCACTCTTTCTTTTATTTGTAATTATTTTCATTTTAAGATATATTATAAATGTGGGGCACCTGGGTGGCTCAGTCAGTTAAGCGTCTGCCTTCCGCTCAGGTCAGGATCTCAGGGTCCTGGGATCGAGCCCTGCACTGGGCTACTTGCTCAGCAGAAAGTCTGTTTCTCCCTCTCCCACTCCCTCTGCCCCACCCCCGTCCCGGCTCCTGCTCGCTCTCTCTCTCTCTCAAATAAAGAAATAAAATATTTTTTAAAAGATATATTAAAGATGCAAAAAAAAAAAACACCACTCTTTAAAATCCATAAAGCAAAAGACATAAGATTACAAAAGAAACAAGTGTATTCATATTCAGGTATCAAAATGTTAAAACAAATATGTGATACAGTCACAAATATACGTCTTTACTTAAAGCATTAGATATTGGGGCGCCTGCGTGGTTCAGTCGGTTAAGCGGCTGCCTTCCACTCAGGTCATGATCCCAGGGTCCTGGGATGGAGCCCCACATTGGGCTCCCTGCTCAGCGGGGAGCCTCCTTCTCCCTCTCCCTCTGCCTACCACTCCCTCTGCTTGTGTTGTCTCTCTCCCCCTCTCAGAAATAAATAAATAAAATCTTTAAACAACCTTTAGAGACATTTGCAATAGCTGTAACATGATAGGAGAATATCTGTCATTTTGATGTATGACAAAGCCACACGGGTTGCAAATTCCACTGTGGCTAATTGCCCACCTCACAGTCGAAGCGAGGGCTAAATTTCAGTTACAAGTTAGAGAAAATAAAGATCTCTCCCTGTACAAGTTCCAGGTGCAGGGATGTGGGGGTGGGGGTGAGGGTGGAAGGTGGGTTCCAGGAAATTTGGGTTCAGGCAGGGGAGACCTCACAAGAGAGATCAGGCTGCGTTGCAACCAGCCAAGAGGCAGGGGGGAGTCCTGCCGGGCCTGGCCTGGCCTGGCGGGGGGGGTCCAAGTGTCTGCCGTGTAACCCCTCCCCCACATACTGGGAGTCCAGCTACATAGTCCTTGGTTGGCCGCAGACCCCCAGACTCCCTGTCCCACCCCAGGGGGGCCCAGGCCGCCGCACAAGCCACCCGCCCCCGCACGGCCTCGCCGTCTGCCTCCCCTGCACCCAGTCGGTCAGCCGACGCGGTGACCGTGACCCGGCCAGGCCCCTGCAAATGAGGGGGCGCGCCGGGCGCCTAGGGCCTGACCCGCGGCGACCCGCTGTGTCCAGTCATGCGGCGGGCCTCTTAGACAGTGCTCCGCCCGCGCGGCCCCGGCCATAAAAGGGCCGGCCCCGCAGCCGCCGGAGCCGCCGCCGCCGCCGCCCCCGACCCCGCGCGCCCGCACCATGGCCGGCCCCGGCCTCGCCTGCTGCCTGCTGGGCCTCCTGGCGCTCACCTCCGCCTGCTACATCCAGAACTGCCCCCTGGGCGGCAAGAGGGCCGCGCTGGACCTCGACGTGCGCCAGGTGAGCCCGGGCCGCGGCCCGCCGCCCCTGCCCGCCCCTGCCCGCCCGCCCGGCCCGGCCCGCGGGGCCCGGGGCCTCTAGCGGACGTGCGCGCCCTCCCGCGACCGCGGCCCCCGGCCCCGCTCGGCCCGCGCTCACCCCCCGCCCTCCCGCCAGTGTCTCCCCTGCGGCCCCGGGGGCAAAGGGCGCTGCTTCGGGCCCAGCATCTGCTGCGGCGACGAGCTGGGCTGCTTCGTGGGCACGGCCGAGGCGCTGCGCTGCCAGGAGGAGAACTACCTGCCGTCGCCCTGCCAGTCGGGCCACCAGCCGTGCGGGAGCGGGGGCCGCTGCGCCGCCGCCGGCCTCTGCTGCAGCCCGGGTGAGCCGGGGGCCGGGCGGGGGCCGGGGCCGGGGCGGGAGCCGGCGGGCGGGCGCTGACCCGGCGTCTCTCCTTGCAGACGGCTGCCGCGCCGAGCCCGCCTGCGACCCCGAGGCCGCCTTCTCCCAGCGCTGAGCCCGATGGCCCCGACGGTGGCGCAGCCGCCCCCAGAAATAATGAAATGAAATAAAGCAGCCTTTTTGCCCTCCAACTCGACTGGCGTCTTGGTGTCAGAAATGGGAGGGGGCGCCTGGGTGGCTCAGTTAGTTAAGCGACTGCCTTCGGCTCAGGTCATGATCCTGGAGTCCCTGGATCGAGTCCCTGGATCGAGTCCCGCATCGGGCTCCCTGCTCGGCAGGGAGTCTGCTTCTCCCTCTGACCCTCGCCCTCTCATGCTCTCTCTCTCTCTCTCATTCTCTCTCTCAAATAAATAAATTAAAAAAAAAATCTTTAGAAATGGGAGGGAGGGCGCTGGCGGAGCCCCGACGGTGGCGCCCGGCGGGGCCCGCGTCTCTGGCTCCGGCCCATTCAGAGCCGGAGCGCCCGGTGTCTGAGCGCCGCCGTCCCTGCCGCCGCAATCCCGCAGCGGGTGGCGAGGGAGGGAGAGGGTAACGGACCCCAGCTTCCCGCTCCAAACAGAGCTGGGAACCTACAGCGGGTGGACTTAAGAGGAACTTTCAAAGAACCCAAAGGATAGGGCGGGGTGGGCCTGACAGGGACGCAGGCGAAGAGGGGGCAGGCCAGTGGCGGGTGAATGACTTCCGTACGTTTGGAAGGAGGCTTGAGCCCCACCTGAGGGCCCGGTTTGGGGCCACGGCTGCTGAAGGGCCTTCACGTTTCCAAGGAGCGGCGCTCCGGGCCACCGGGGCTCAGAAGAGGTGGCCAGGCCGCCCGGCACCCAGCGCGAGAACTCATGGCTTGCAAGATGGGCTCCCCCCCGGGGAGCACTCGGAGGTAGAGTTTAACCTGCAGGAGGTTTATTACCAAGGGCCCTGGGGACCCACAACTGTGAGAGGGAAGGGGCAGAAACAGGATTAGGTAGAGGGAGAACTTCCATGCGGGCCTCAGTTGGCCCTATGGGGAGTTCAGAGCTGAAATAGTCCTTCATAGTTGCCCACCATGGGGCCAGAACAGGTATTGGATGTGAGCCACCAGGGAAGGGTGTGACCTTGGGCCAGGCCACTCTCTGAAGCTGAGGCAGGCCCTGGGTGGGCTGCCAGCCAGAGTTTATCGGCTGAGCACACTAGGGCTGGGAACCCTGAAGGACAGGGGGTCCGGAGAGCCCACCGCTACAGAAATGACCTCAAAACGCAAAAGCCGCCCACAAACAGAATCCTCAACCTATTTCTCATCTGTTCCTGGACCAAAAACCCTCTTGGGAATCAAGAGAGCCTATTTCGTCTCCCCCAGAGCATGCTGTCATTCACTTACCCATGCCACTGGGCAAGCAGTTTCAGAAGGTCCGTGGCCACACTCCCACGGCAAGTAAAACAGGAACAGATCACTCTCAGGGAGAGAAAAGGTAATTTCTACGGCTTTCTCTCACACTGGAGGACGCAGAGCAGTATGTGGAGAGAGAAAAAATATGCTGAAGAGGACTGTAAGATTTTCTTTATATAAATTACAGAAACAGGCAAAACTAAGCTATGGTGCTGGAAGTCTTGGGGTGGGGGGGGTGACTGGAGGGGGTCCGAGGGCAGCTCTGGGTGCTGGTCATATTCTGTTTCCTGGCCTTCGAGCTGGTGAAACAGGCGTGTTCATTTTCAGAAAACAACACAACGTGCACGTGATTTGTTGACTTTTATGTGTGTATTATATGTGAATAAAAGGTTTTTAAAATGAAAAAAGATCATTACTGCTAAGATGTATGGAGGGAATAGAGATGAGGCTTTTGGGTTTTTTTAAGTGCTTATCATTTTATTTTATTTTTTTTTTAAGTAATCTCTACATCCAATGTGGGACTCCAACTCATGACCCTGAGATCAAGAGCTACATGCTCCACGGACTGAGTCAGCCAGGCGTCCCTGAGATGAGGCTTTTGAACACCCCAGTGGCCAATAGCAACCTGGACTGTAGTTCCTTTTTTTTTTTCTTTGCTTTTTTTCTTGCTTTTAATTTATTGATTTGTTTTGTTTTAGATTTCACATATAAGTGAAACCATACGGTGTTTGTCTTTTTCTGTCTGACTTCTTTCCCTTCACCTAATACCCTCTAGGTCCATCCATGTTGTCACAAATGGCAAGATCTCACCCTTTTTCGTGGCTGAGTAATAGTCCACTGTATAGACTGTGGCTCTTGCTGAGGCCACGAGAGCAGCCCCTCCTCCAACCCCGCATCAGGTGGGGAGGATTAGTCACCCAAAGGGACACGAGATGACTCAAAGCGGAGTCCCGTTCAAACCAACTATGGTGAAGCGTGTGAGGCACATCAGTGAGTATTTGAGGTTGGTCACAGAGTTCTGTGTCCCTCAGAAACCACACGGCCGGGGAGGACTGCAGTAGACGTGACCGTGCTCCTCAATGACAGACTTGTCGTGATGGGTCTGCACTTTTCCAAGCTGGAACATCCACCATCTGCCTTAGCAGGAAGTCCGGGATCTCCCCCGGCACCTTTTTCTCTCCCCTGAGTGTCTTGGGGTGCCAGCCCAGCTGTTCCCCCCCGAGGAGCAAGTTCAGGTCCCCTCACCCACTCAGGCACCCACTTCACTGTTCCACTCCTTCCCTAGAATACAAAGGTGAACAGTATTTTCCGGCCCCAAAACACAGGGTCGGATTGACATGGCTTTTCCCGGGTATGTCCCAGAGGTGACATCAAGCTGGGTCCAGTGGCCAGACCAGCGCAGAAGCAAGCTTGCTGTCATTCTTCCTTCTTCTGGCTTGTGGAGTCCCACAGCCTTTGGTCCTTGTTGGAATGACTCCTTCAAACCTCCAAAGTGGGGGCACCTGGGTGGCTCAGTGGTTAAGCGTCTGCCTTCGGCTCAGGTCATGATCCCAGGGTCCTGGGATCGAGCCCCGCATCGGGCTCCCTGCTCGGCGGGGAGTCTGCTTCTCCCTCTCCTGCTCCCCCTGCTTGTGTTCCCTCTCTCACTGTGTCTCTCTCTCTCAAATAAATAAATAAAATCTTAAAAAAAAACAACAACCCTCCAAAGTGCTTGGGGGCTTTTCCAGGGTGGTGGTTCCCAGCTCCCACTTTGCATAGCTTTGTTCTTTGTCCTTCTACTACCTGGAAATGAAATTCCTAGAGAATATGCCCACCTACACGCAATTTCAAAAAACATATTATTAGTCTGAGCAATAAGATATAGAAAAGGAAAGTAATTTAGTACAAAATATTACTTTAAATGTGACTAAATAGGCAAGCCTATTTAGGTGACACACACACAATACAGTTGTCTGATAATTACATCTACTTAGAGCAAATATAATAAAAAGAGATTGGAACCCATTCCCTACAAGAAGTTCAGGAAAATAAAAAGGTAAGAAAATAAAAATTTAAAAAGGTAGAAGGGCAACGAGGATCAATACTCTCTTTTGTGGGGCGCCTGGCTGGCTCAGTCGGTGGAGTGTGAGAATCTTGACCTTGGGATCATGAGTTCAAGCAGCACATTGGGAGTTGGGAGTAGAGCTTACTTAAAAAAAAATTCTCTTTTGGGGCGCTTGGGTGGTTCAGTCTGTTAAGTGTGTGCCTTCTGCTCAGGTCATGATCCCAGGATCCTGGGATGGAGCCCCACATCCGCATCGGGCTTCCTGCTCAGGGGGGAGTCTGCTTCTCCCTCTCCCCCTGCCACTTCCCCTGCTTGTGCTCTCTCTCTCTCATCTTTTTAAAAAAATTCTCTTTTGTGCCTTAAGAAAAAGACTCAGATATCAATGAATTGCAAAGAGTACACTCATAGAACACTTACGGAAATTTAAAGAGTGCCTGAATACTTCATGAGACTAATATATTGTTGAGTTTTGGTTTGCAGCTTGTGTGTGTGATGACAGTCTGCGGTCATGTTTTTTTAAATTAATTATTATTAGATTATTATATTATCATATACAGTTATTAATATGTTACTATAGTATTAAAATTAATTTTTATTTTAATTCCAGTATAGTTAACAGTTAGCAGTATGTTAACATATTAGTTTCAGGTGCACAAAACAGTGATTCAGCACATCCATACATCCCCCAGTGCTCATCAACAAGTGCTCTCCTTAATCCCCATCACCTGTTTCACCCATCCCCCACCCACCTCCGATCTGGTTACCATCTGTTTGTTCTCTATAGTTAAGAGTCTATTTCTTGGGGCTCCTGGGGGGCTCAGTTAAGCGTCTGCCTTCTGCTCAGGTCATGATCCCGGGGTCCTGGGATCGAGCCCCGCATCGGGCTCCCTGCTCAGCAGGGGGCCTGCTTTTCCCTCTCCCTCTGCTCCCCCTGCTCCTGCTCTCTTTCTCTCTCAAATAAATAAATGAAATCTTTTTTTAAAAAAGAGTCTATTTTTTGGTTTGTCTCTTTTTGTTTCCTTTGTTTGTTTGGTTTCTTAAACTCTACATGAGTGAAATCTTAAGGTATTTGTCTTTCTCTGATTTATTTCGTTTAGCATTATACTCTCTAGCTCCATCCATGTTGTGGCAAATGGCAAGATTTCATTCTTTTTTATGCCTGAATAATATTCCATCGTGTATACACACCCTATCTTCTTTATCCATTCATCAATAGGTGGACATTTGGGCTGCTTCCACAGTTTGGCTATTGTAAAGAATGCTGCTATGTGTGGTCATGTTTTTAAGAAGAAATCTTGTGAGATGCACACTGGAATGTTTACAGCTGAAATGGTTATGACAGCTGGGATTGGCATCAAGATAATTCAGGGGTGGGAGGAGAGGGTCGGGTAGAGGTGAAACAGGCAACCATGTTGTTGATAATCACTGAAGGTAAGAGGGGGTGGACCTGAGGGACTTTTGTTCTGTTGGGTCTACTTTTTCATATATTTGAAATTTCTCATAACAAAAGCTACAAAACAGAAAGATTGTGGTAAAGGTAAATGCTTTGATATGAAAAGATGCCCCAAATTTACTTTGTTAAAAATGATGTAAATTAGGACATATGGATTATGTAAATAATACTAATTTGTAAAACAACAGCTGTGTGAAGCTTTTTTTAAAAAAAAAGATTTTATTTATTTATTTATTTTACAGAGAGAGAACACAAGCAGGGGGAGTGGGAGAGGGAGAAGCAGGCTCCCCGCTGAACAGGGAGCCCGACGCAGGGCTCCATCCCAGGACCCTGGGATCATGACTGAGCCGAAGGCAGACATTTAGCTGACTAAGCCACCCAGGCGCCCCTGTGTGAAGCTTTAGGACAAAAGTTTTCCAGTCTGAAAGCAATAGTTGTTGTTGTTTTTAATGTAAACTCTAAGCCCAACATGGGGCTTGAACTCACGACCGGGAAATTAAGAGTCACACGCTCCACCGACTGAGCCAGCCAGACCGCCCCAGTCTGAAAACTATCAACATCAACTTCATCATTGAACATGTATCGCTACGATTGATTTTTCTGTCATACTCTATTAGCAAGGACCTCCAGTACAATTTGGAAGGGCAGCAATTTCAGTTTTTTAAAAAAATAATAATAAAATAAATTTTTAAAAGTTGAGTTGTTTTCTTAGTATGGAGTTTTGAGAGGCCTTTATACATTCTGGATATCAATCCTTGATAAGCTTTGTGAGTTGTAGATCTTTCCTTCCAGTCTGTGGTTTGCTTCTTCATTCTTTTAAAGAGCAGAAGCTCTTAATTTTGGTGAATTCCAAACATATCAAATTTCTTCTTTTATGGATTCTCCTTTTGGTGTCAGAGCTAAGAAATCTTTGCATAGCTCAAGGTCATAAATGATTTCTCCCATCGTTTCTTCAAGATGCTTTAGAGTTTTAGGTTTTACATTTAGGCATATGATCCATTTTTATTCAAACCGGCTGCCTCTTTCCACCTCCTTGTGTCCTGAAGGGTTACTAAGTTCCTCTTAGGTCTGGTCCTGCCCCAGTCCTACTAAGACCTGGGGACTGGCCCCGGATGGGCCACACCAGGGCAGAGGCAGGAGGTCATGGCTGGGATAGAGGCCCACAGGGCCCCTGCTCTCCCTCTACACTTAATCACTCTGGGCACTGAGCCAGGTCAGGGGTGACAGCAAACGGAGCTCTAAGACCAGAAAAGAGCCTGACCTCGGCTTAGCACCAGGACCCTGGCCACGTCTGATGGAGGCTGAGTCATGCCACTCTGCTCTAAGGCAGGGTGTTGGCATCAGGGCTCAGAGTGACTTCTCTGCCTGCCCTCCCTCCTGGCCTCTAAGTCCCTGGAGGATTCTGGAGAAGATGCAGCCTCTTGTAGCCCCAAGGCCTAGAGCAAGAAAGCCCAAGGACAGGATGTTGAGAACAGAGGGGGCAGAGAGAGAGGAAGGGAAGGATGAATGGGACAAGGAGGGAAGCAAAAGAGGGCCAAGGAGCTGGGGGATGGGGGAAGGGAGGGGAGTGAGGCTCAAAGGGGATAAAGGAATAGAGGGGACAAAGAAGGACATAGGGACACAGAATAGCATTGGCCAAATGCCAGTGGATGTCAGCCCTGAAGCTGCATGCATCCTAATGTGATGTGGGGGCCCGTGTGTGTGTGCGCGCGCGCGCGCGCACGCGCGCGCCCACCCATGGTTGAGTCTGTTTGTATCTGTGTTTCTCTGGGTGTGTCTGTGGCTCTGAATGTGTATCTCAGGGTCTACACCTGTAACTGTGGTCAAGGATCCCAAGGCATGCAGCTCATGATTATTTGCTGGTCTGTGTTTGTGTTAGTGTGTGTGATTTGTGTGGGTCTCAGTGGGCTCTGTCTTCCACTCTGGCTGAAGGGCCCCCATGGCGGCTGCTTAACTTCCTCCTGGACAGATAGTACCTGGCCCTCTGTCTGCTGGGTCTGGGGTGATTTGCTGTCTCCCGCCTCCAAACTCACACACACATACACACACAGCACAGCCCTGGATGAAATAGTAGACTGGAAATCTGGGGAGTTGGGTGGGTCCCTGAAGCCGTGCCTCAGTCTCCTGGGATGTAAATGGAGACGGGAACCCCCGGTCATCCTTTGGCTCCCTCCCCTTGGACCTTTCTCGCTCTTCCCTCCGACGCTCTCAACGTCGCTCTCTCCATCGTTGGGCTTCCTCTGTCTTCTCCTGCCATCTTGTCCACCAATGTCTTTCCCTCTCCTCGCCTTTACTTCTGTCCCTCTGCCGGAGGATCCACCCAGCCCCTGCAGGGCCCCCCAGGTCGCGCCGTCCTTAGTTCCCCCTAGCCCTCTGCCGAGCCAAGATCGCTTCCCCTCTGCGGATCGCGGACTGGCTGGCGCGGGTGACCGAGGGGGGTCCGCGCCCCACCGTCTCCTCTGCGCCCCCTCCCCACCCCCGGACACGGAGACAGACACTCGCGGGTGCACTTTTAAAGGTTTATTTTTCCAGGCTGCGGGGGGCTCGGGGGTTTGGGGCGAGCGAGCGGCTCAGTAGACGCCGGGCGGGGCGGGCTCCGCGGGCTCGGGCGCCCCCGCCAGCTGCACCAGGCGCAGCAGCAAGGCGCCGGTCGGCCCGTCCAGCTGGGTCGCGTTGCTCCGGTCGCTGGCGCGGGCGCGGCGGTGGAAGCCGGAGCCCCCCCGGCACTCGGGCTCGGTCACGCAGCTCTCTGCGGGCGGGGGCGGGGCGGGCACGCGGTGAGCGCGGCGCGGGCGGGACCCAGATCGGCCAGGCCCGCGGGGACCCCGGGGCCCGCCCCCGCCCGGCCCCCCGCCCGCCCCCGCCCGGCCCCCGGCTCACCCGGGCTGCAGCAGAGGCCGGCGGCGGCGCAGCGGCCCCCGCTCCCGCACGGCTGGTGGCCCGACTGGCAGGGCGACGGCAGGTAGTTCTCCTCCTGGCAGCGCAGCGCCTCGGCCGTGCCCACGAAGCAGCCCAGCTCGTCGCCGCAGCAGATGCTGGGCCCGAAGCAGCGCCCTTTGCCCCCGGGGCCGCAGGGGAGACACTGGCGGGAGGGCGGGGGGTGAGCGCGGGCCGAGCGGGGCCGGGGGCCGCGGTCGCGGGAGGGCGCGCACGTCCACTAGAGGCCCCGGGTCTTCAGGTGACTGAGGACCGGCTCTCGGTGACAGCCTCGGCACCCTCCCCCTTTGTTGAGGGGGGCCCCCTCCGCACCGCGCTGCGCCGGAGAGACCCTCCCTCTCAGCCCCGGGGCCATCAGAGGTGTGCGCCCCTCTCTCCCTGCCCACCCCTCCCCTAAGGCCGACCTTCCTCCCCTGCCCCCAGGACTCCAACTTGATCTCTAGCACGCACGCCCCCGCCAGACAGGGCTCTGCCCCGCCCAGAACACTTCCAGGCCCCTCCTCCCGTTTCCCGGCCCGGCTCCACGAGCCGGTGGGCCTCTGGGGGCCCGGACCTGGGCTCACCGGCCAGGCACTAACTGTGGGTGGCAGGAGCCTGAGCCCCAGGGAAGGGCACGGGGCACCTCGCTGACTCTGGTGTCGGAAGGTGCCCAGCAGAGGGCAGCCAACAAACTGCCCACAGACCCACCCCAGTTTGTTCAATGGCTCGGAAGCGAGCCCCCTGTGGCCTGGGAAGGTTTGAGCATGGGGATGGGATTTCCTTCAGCTCTGCTGAAAAGGGACTGAAAGGGAATTGACTGGACAAGCAGGGCGGGAGAATTGGGCTAGGTTCCCAGCAGAACTGCCTGGCAGGAGGTGGCACCCTCACTTGAAGGAGCTCAGAGCAATGGGCAGCTTCTGTGTGGGGCCTGGGGGAGCGTGGCTAGGAGAGGGTGACGGCTGGATGGGGAAGGCCTCCCATGCTGGCTATAACACAGCCCGTTGCGGCTGTGAGACTCCGATGGGCACAGAGGAGGCCCTGCTATCCAGTTCTCCCCGATCTGCCCCAAGCCCCGTTACTGGGGAAACACGGGCTTTCCTGCATCCCTTGCCTGGATGGGGATAGTGTCCCCGCAGTCCTGCAGCCTGTCCTAGCCTGCCTGGCAGCCTGGCCCCCCCCACCCCTGCCCAGCCATGCCAAGCCTCCCTGCTACTTCCCCTAAAGCTGGCCTCTTCCACGACTTCCCTCCTGCCTGGCCCCTGCAGGGTAGCGCAGGCCCGGGGGCTCTGTCCCCTCCAGGCAGCCCCGAGATGCACCCCGGTCATACCTGTCTCAGCTCCAGGTCAGACAAGTCCCTCTTGCCGCCCCGCGGGCAGTTCTGGAAGTAGCAGGCGGAGGTGAAGGCCAGCAGGCCCAGGAAGCAGGCGGGGAGCACGGCGTCCGGCATCCTGGCGCAGGTGGGCACAGTGTGCAGTGTGCTGGGCTGCCTTCGCGGGCGGCCTTTTTATGTCTGCAGGTGCTCCCCCGGAGACGACGTGGCCGCCACCCCCCCTCCCCAGTGACTCCCCAGGAGCCCACGACCGCCAGGCAGTGATTCAGGCATCTGGGGACGCACGTGGACCTGTCTGGGGGGGCGCTGGGGAGGAGGGGTGCCGGCCTGCGGGCTGTCACTGGCAGCCGCGTGGCTGCCGAGTGACAGGAGCTGCTGCGACCGTGATTGTGGCTCTCTGGACCCGGGGAGAGGGACGGATGGGGGCGGGGGGGTCTCGCGGAAACCGTCTCCGATCTTTCTGGCTGCCCAGAGGAGGCTGGGGGGCAGCGGGCCGGTCCCCAAGCACAGCCCCCTGAGAAGGTGGGAAGGGGGGCCCGAGGGGCTGGTGTGCAGGGAGCAGGATCAGCCCCGGCCCAGGATCAGTGGGACAGGGGACCGTCAGATGTGCAGAACCCCATCAGGAGGGTTAGCCTCCTGGGGGGGACACTCCCACCCCCCACCCCACACACACCCAGAGCAGGGTTCAGACCCAGCAAGGTTCAAAGGTGGGGGGAAAGCCACCTGCCCCAATTCCTACCCCGACAAGGACCCTAGTTTGTGGGTGCCGAGGCAGGAACCATCTCGGGCCTAGGGTGGAAGTGGGGGCGAGGGAGCTTTGGTGTTGGGGGGGCTGGAGGAGCCACAGCCAAATGAGCCCAGCCTGAGAAAGCGGACTTTGGTTCACGACCCCAGGCTGGTGGGATGAAGGGACTAAAGCCTCCCTCTCCTGGGCCACTGGAGCGCCCCTCTGGTCCTTGGACCCAGGCCAGCCACCCTGCTCCTCTCAGGATCTGTTCAGCCCCTAGCTCTCCCAGCCCCAGGCTCTTCGCCGCCTCTCCAGGGTGCCCAAGAAAGCTCTGGGCTGCCTTCTCCCCACCAAGTGCTCTAAGGGGGTTGGTGTCCCAGGGAGAGACCTCCCACACTGCGGACCTGACGCCAGGCTCTTCAGGAACATCCCCTTATGGACTGTGAGGACACCGGAGCCCAGTGGCCTGTCAGAATCTGGCTTCTGTTGCTCAAAACTTCATGACTCGGGCAGGTTACTTGACCTCTCGGTGCCTCACTTTCTTCCAGCGTAATGTCGGGAAGATACTAACTAGTACCCACCTCATGGTGTTGTGAGGACTGAAATCATGTAATACATAAGAGCTTTAGAAAAGTTGCTGCACCATTGTAAAGCTAATTAATAACGGTATTGTATTGTTAATGCCATTACTCTGTTTTTTTTTAAAGATTTTATTTATTGATTTGAGAGAGAGCGAGCACGAGACGGGGGTGAGGGGCAGAGGGAGAAGCAGACGCCCCGCTGAGCAGGGAGCCCGACGCGGGGCTCCATCCAGGGACTCCAGGATCATGACCTGAGCCGAAGGCAGACGCTTAACCGACTGAGCCACCCAGGGGCCCTAATGCCATTATTCTCATTAAGAACTGAAGAGAGTCTTCCAGAGAGAATAGCATCCTGGGTTAACCCAGGAGGAACATGCTCATTCCATTCATGGGGCCCGGAGAGGAGCTGGGTCCAAACTGTTGCTCCCTTATGATTCTTGGTTGTGGTGGAGGCCACAGGCCTAGTTTAGGCCAGCTGCGTGGCCTAACACCCACCCTCTTGGAACACGCAGGGGCTAGAAAAAGTCTTGTTACTGCGCTGTCAGGTCAAATATATCACCTCACATGTCACATGGACCTTTTGAACACCCCACATTCCTACACTTCCCTCTTTATTAGTCCTACCTGGAAAAGACATCTCAAATCTATCTGCTTCCTTTTGCTCCTGCTTTGAAATCTCAGAACGTGTTGTTTCTTTGTTCTAGAAGCCTCCCCTCCCCTCACCCCTCTGTAGGATTCACCTGGCTGCTTCGGTGTCTGCTCCTAAGAGGAGACCTCCCTGACCACCCACCTGGCACATCCCTCCCTCAGCCCCACTTCGATTACTTTCTAACTTGAATCAGCGTTGAAGGGTTAATAGGCACTTACTACAACCTGCAGCTCATTTCCTTGTCTGTTTATCTTTTGTGCGTGTGTATGGCTGTGCCCCTCTAGAGTGAGACCCCCAGGGCAGAAGGGACTTCATTTTTCTGTTCGGTGCCATAGTCTCGTACGGTGCTTGCCACGCAGTGGGTTTTCAATAGATTATGGAAGGGAGGAAGGGAGGGTGGGAAGCTCTGGGTACCAGCCTCAGCTTTCCCGGGAGTTACTCTGTGACCTTGGGCAAGCCACACCTGCTCCCAAAGTTACTCGCTTAATGTACTAACAACCTCGCTTCCTATCTCAGTGAGGATTTAAGGGAATCAGACCAAGGTGCTATAAAGGTTAAGAGTTTCTGAAATATTTACAAAACAAAGAGTTGCAAGCCTCCAGATTAAGCCTCAAATCTCAGAATACTCTTTATTTCCTGACTGTTACACCATCTTTTCTTTTCTTTTTTTTTTTAAGATTTTATTTATTTGACAGAGAGACACAGCGAGAGAGGGAACACAAGCAGGGGAAGTGGGAGAGGGAGAAGCAGGCTTCCCGCCGAGCAGGGAGCCCGATGTGGGGCTCCATCTCAGGACCCTGGGATCATGACCTGAGCCGAAGGCAGACGCTTAATGACTGAGCCACCCAGGCAACCCTAGACTATCTTTTCTGAGAGCAAGTAACAGTTAACTGCCCCAGGGTCCATCCATTCCTGTTTCTCATTCTCCTTTTCTCAGGATCAACCCAGAGCCCGCACCACGTGACATGCACACAGCCTGTCGGAAGGGGGTTGACCTCACTTTCAAAGGGCCTCTGCGGCCACAGTAAGTCCACCTTTCGCTCTCCTCACCTGTGGTCCACCAGTGACACTTGAGGACCCTCGGCAGTGTAGACACGCAAATGCTCTGTCTACTGTGAAGAGGGAAACTGCAGGGAGCAAAGTTGTAGGAGCCCCAAACTGCTCACTGAATTGAATCAAAGAGGATCCACAGAGCAAGAATCACAAGCATGAGAAAATGCTGGGCTTTAGGCAGACAGGCCCCGAGCTGAGATGGATCCACACCAGGAGTGAGAAATGGCAAACCTTGGCTTCCTCCTCTCATGGGGGGAGCTCAAGGTGAAGATCCATCAGATCTCTACAGGGGCTTACATTAAGCTTCAAAGAATCAGAAATGAAAAGGCCTCATAAGAGGTCTTACTTGCAAAAACAACCTAAATAAAAAGCAAAATAAACCGGACACATTTTTGACACTCTCTCCGGTGTTAAACGCCTGTAAGCGGCAGGATGGGTGGAGTCCCATCTGGGGACTCCCAGCTCCGGCTGGGACCCCGGGGGCCCGGCCTGGTGTCCCCGCTGGGCTGGGCCCAGTGGCTGCCCCCTCCCCCGCGACCCCCGAAGCCCCCCTCCCCCACCACGCAGTCCAGGGGAGGGCCAGGCCTCCGGGGCGGCGGGAGCAGGCGCCCAGGCCCGAAGGAAAGACAAGAAGAGGCTGCGAGGGCCTCGGGGGACCGGCGGCGACGATGGGAGCCGTGCCCTGACTGCCAAGAGCCGCATGAGCGCAACGCCTGCGTCACTCGCCGCCCCCGGGGGCCCGGCCTGCGCTCCCAACCGGGAAAGGGGCACACCCCAGCGCCGGGGGGGTCCCCGCGGGAGAGCGGGAAGCCGAGGCCCCTGCGCCGGGAAGGCTTCTCGAATATTCCTCTGGAACCTGTAGTTTGGGGACTGAAGGTTAAATGGGGAGTTCCGGGAAGAACCCCGGGGAGGGCACACCTGGGTGGATCAGGTGTGAAGGAGCAGGATGCATGTGTCTGTCTGTGTGTGTGTCTGTGTGTCTGTTGGGAGGGGGGAGCAGCAGTAAGGACACAGCACAGGACACACAGGCTCCAGAGCCTGTTGACCCACAGACGACAACAAAGACTTCCGTGGTCTGGGCCAAACTTCACATGCATTTCCTTCTCGAATCTGCATAAAACCCTAAGAAGGAGAAAGTTTTTTTTTTTTTAAGATTTTATGTATTTGGGGGAGAGAGAGAGAGAGAGCACAAGCAGGGGGAGGGGTGGGACAGAGGGGCAGAGGGAGAAGCAGGCCCCCTACTGAGCAGGGAGCCCAATGCGGGACTCAATCCCAGGACCCTGAGACCACGACCTGAGCCGAAGGCAGACGCTTAACCGACTGAGCCACCCAGGTGCCCCAGGTGAAAGTATTTTTTATTGACATTTGCAGACAGGAAACAGGGACAGAGAGGTTGAGACACTTGCCCAAGGAAGCACAGGTAAAGACCAGCAGAACTGGGCCCCAGGGTTCTTCAGCACTTCACTGCCTCATAACCAACGGGGACTAAACCCCCAGGATATTAGTATTTACTAGGATTCAGAGCTCGAGGTTGGTGGTCTTGTGGCTGGCTCAGGTTCAGGGGTATCACCCGGGGTTTCCTTACTCCCTTCTGGCACCCTCCACATGTCTGTGTATCTCTCCTCATGGCAAGGGGTCAGCCACAAAATGGTTCCCTCCTCTGAGCCTTTCCCTTCTGGGGGACCCTCACCTTTGCCCAGGGGCCCACTCCCAAGCCCCTCCAGGCTGGGCGAGTACCTGGCTGTGTGTTAGGTCAGCCAAGGTTCACCCCAGGGCTGCGTGTATCTGCAGACCCCTCCTGAAATGGGATTCTGTTAGTGAGGACCGGGATGGAGTGGCTGCTGGCCCAGGCTGGGAAGATTTGTAGGATCCTCTCCATCACTTCAAGTGGAGGACCCTGTGGCACAGAGAAGCTAAGTGTCTTCTTGTCCGGGGTCACACAGAGAGGCAGTAATAGAGCTACTGGGGGAGGAACCCTCAGCCCCCAATTCCTGCACCTCCCCAGGCTGCACCTGATCTCAGCTCTGGCTGGATCGCCTGCAGAGCCCAGGCTCCCATCGTCAGCTGCCAGACCGACCACACCACTTCCCTTTGTGCTTAACTTCGGGACCCTCCATGGCTCCCCACTGCCCACAGGATGATGCGCAAGCACTTTAGCATCACCTTTGTCCGCCGTGCCCTCAACCCCCAAGGTTATGCTTCTCCCAGCCAGGACTGCAGGGCCCCCTCTCTTGGTGCCTTTTATTCAATTTTTCAAAGAATCAACCTCTGCTCTTATTGAATCTCCAATTTGTTTCATTAATTTATGCTGTTATCTTCATTAATTTCATTTTATCTTCTGTCTTTGAGTTAATTCTGTACTTTTCTGACTGAGTTTAGTGCTTGGCTCATAAATTTTCAATCTGTTTTTTTAAATTTTTTAAAAGAGATTTTATTTATTCAAGTAATCTCTACACCCAGTGTGGGGCTCAAACTCACAATCCTGAGATCAAGGGTCACACGCTTCACCAACCGAGCCAGCCAGGCACCCTTCTTCTGTTTATTTATTTATTTATTTTAAAGATTTTATTTTATTTTATTTCATTTGAGACACAGAGATACAGAGAGAGAGAGAGCATGAGCAGGGGGAGAGGCAGAGGGAGAGGGAGAAGCAGACTCCTCGCTGAGCCAGGAGCCCATGTGGGGCTCGATCCCAGGACCCTGGGATCATGACCTGAGCTGAAGGCAGACGCTTAACGACTGAGCCACCCAGGCGCCCCCCCTTCTTTTTAAATAATATGTTTTAAGGCTATAAAACTTTCTTTGTCCCATGAATTTTGATTTGTAGCTCCCTTATTGTCATTGGGTTCTAAACATTTCGTAAATGTCCACGCTGATTTATCATTTTCCTTTCTAGTTATTTACAAGAGTGCCAAGTTTTTGGTTTTTGCTCATTTTCATTCTCATGGACTTTTATTGTTTTTCTAGCCAGATAATGTAGCCTGTGTTCTGTTGATTCTCTGGAATATGTTGAGACTCCGTGTTGTGGCAAAGTGGGTGGTCCTGTTTGCCGATCTTTTTTTTTTTTTAAGATTTTTTTATTTTGGGGGGGCGCCTGGGTGGCTCAGTCGTTAAGCGGCTGCCTGCTTGCGTTCCCTCTCTGGCTGTGTCTCTCTCTGTCAAATAAATAACACAAGCAGGGAGAGAGGGAGAAGCAGGCTTCCCCCTGAGCAGGAAGCCCGGTGCGGGGCTCAATCCCAGGACCCTGGGATCATGACCTGAGCCAAAGGCAGACGCTTAACGACTGTGCCACCCAGGCGCCCCCCTGTTTGCCGATCTTAAGTGTCTGGTAATGTTACACGAATCCTTGAAAAGTAATTGTATTATACAAGAATCAGGTGGTCAAGATTGTGATTCCAGTGGTTCGTACCTTCTCTGCCTTCCCACACGTGTGTGTGCTTAGCTATCCTCCCTAGGACAGGTCTGCTGACACCTCTCACTGCAGTCCTGGGTTGTGCGTCTCTCCTGCTTTGAGGATATGCTGTTAGGCGCATACAAGTTTCTGACTGCTGTGTGCTCTTGATGGATTATTTCTGTTATCATTAAATAAAATCTCTTTATCCTTATTAGTATTTTTGCTTTAAATTCTATTTGCCTGATATTACTGTTGCTACGTTCTCCTTCTTTTCCGTCATCCTTTCATGTCCCACCTCCGTGCTTTAGGAATGTCTGTTGAAACAGTACATGGCAGGATTTGATTTTTTACTGAGTGTTCCTGTTTTTTTCACAAGGCGGGCTTAATCTGTTGACATTTGTGGTGATCGCTTGGGCTCATCTGTGCACATTTAGCTTCTGTTTTCTATTTATTATGACAACTGCTCACTTCTTTTCCCTTCTTTCTTGTCTTCTAATAGATTGGCTATCTTTTTTTTTTTTCTTTTTAAGATCTTATGTTAAGCAATCTCTATACCCTGGGTGGCTTAGTTGTTTGGGCGTCTGACTCTTGGTTTCAGCTCAGGTTGTGATCTCAGGGTGTGGGATTGAGCCCTACCTAAGGCTCCCGTTCAGCATGGAATTTGCTTCTCCCCCTCTCCCTCTCCCCCTCCCCCTGCTTGTGCTCTCCCTCTCTCAAATAAATAAATCTTAAAAAAAAAAATCTCTACGTCCAACCTGGGTGGGGCTTGAACTCACAACCCCAAGATCAAGACCCGAGCTGAGATCAAGAGTTGGATGCTTAAATGACTGAGCCACCCAGGTGCCCCAGATCGGTTATCTTTAAATTTTCTTTCTATTCTTTTAGTAGCTTACCTAAACAATGTCTGAGGCTGTGCATCTCCCTCTCCTCCTCCGGAGCAAGATGAATTCCCTAGAGTGTTTAACCAGGAATTCCTTCACTCACATCATCCATTATATTGTTGCCAATATTTTAGTGTCACCTTGATTTTAAGGCTCCTCATTACTCATTATTATTAAAAATGATATTGATGGAAACTCCACTCACCATTCCTCTGACAACTAGAGATTCTGTACTCCCCCACCCCCCAGTGGAGAGAAGCAAAAATCTGTTTCCCAGATCGAGAGCTGCCATAGGCAGCTGGGGGTCTGTGCTGATTTACTCCCCTGGGAAGACCGTATTTGGAGCTGGTCTCCTGGAGATGTGTCCGGATTAAATTCAGAAAGATCCCCTCATTTCCTGAGGCCTATCCATTTTCTGCACCAAACACGGCAGACGGAGTAATGTAGAACTAGCTAACATTTACTGCATGCTGACAATGTGTTCTCGGCTCAGACACTATAAGCCATATGTCATGAGATATGACATGACAACTGTCCCCATTTTGTTGGTGTGGAAACTGAGGCACCCAAGGGTTAAGCAAGTGTCCTGAAATGCCACAGCAGGCAAGGAGTAGGAGCAGGATCCCAACCAGCACCGAGCTTCCAGAGCGGCCCCAAGAGGGCTCACCACCCCCCGGATTTCAAGGCTTTAATGGGTTCGCCCAGCTACTGATCTGCAGCGGAGCTTGGCAGCCAGGGCAGCTGGGGGGAGCTGGCCTCTCCCTCAGCCTTGCTCTGTCCCACATGCCAAGGGACACGCACACAAGTGGGTGCTCCAGGCTGCAGGCTTGGTCTCTGTCTGTGCGCCTCACCCTCGGCCTCCTCCTTCCACCATGCAGGCATGTGTGTGCACTTCAGGGGGGCCCACCTGGTCACAGACCCAGACAAGAGGACCCCTCGTGCCCTAGAAAAGGTCATGGGAACATTAGGTAGAGTGTTCTAGGCCACAGGCTGCAGGGTCCACATTTGAGGCAGGCATAGCCCCTGGTCTCATCGGGAAGAGGGTCAGAGTTGGGCCCCTAAGGCATGAGGCCAGGGCCCCTTAGGATTACTGGTCCTTGAAGCCCTCAAAGCCCGAAATCCTGTGTCAGCAGACCAGAATCTTCCAGAACCCCACTCTCAGGAGTCACAGGACTCCAAGGACTCAGCTGCTTCATCCCCACCTGCCATAGGACACGGGGGTCCAAACCAGGATATGAATGTCAGTTTCACTATCTTCTGGCCCTTTCTGGACAATCCTACATGCCCCTCATGTTTTTGAGAGTCTGTTGCCAGCCCTCCACTCCTGGTTCTGTGTTCTGTAACAAGCTTTGGGAAATTTGAGCAAAAGGAAATTACTGGAAGGCTATTAAGAGCTCATAATTTAGGGGCACCTGGGTGGCTCAGTTAAGCATCTGCCTTCGGCTCAGGTCATGATCCCAGGGTCCTGGGATTAAGCCACATGTCGGGCTCCCTGCTGAGCAGGGAGCCTGCTTCTCCCTCTCCTCCTCGCTCATGCTTTCTGTCGCTATCTCTGTCTCTCTCAAATAAATAAATAAAATCTTAAAAAAAACAAAACAAAACAATAAAGAGCTCATAATTTAGGGGAAAGCTAGAGATCCAGGCTCAGAAACTGAGTGGTCCTGGAGGACCATGTTTCCTGAAATGGATGTGTCGGATCCCCCAGCGGCAGCCCCTGCGATGGGGATTCTTGTACACATGATTTATGAGGCAGGGAGGGCCCTCGGGGCTGAGTGAAGCTGGACGGGGCAGGGGAAGAAGCCAGGCAAAGATGCGGTGTCAGCTGGATCTAGGCTCAGCCTGATCCCACGGGGAGCTCTGAGTGTGACACCAGAGTTGTCCTACCTTGAGGCAAAGGGGTTGATTTTTGTTATATATCTGGGTATTAGGTGGTTGTCAAGGAGGTTGGCAGGGAGGGGATCTCCCAGGCATTTTCTTGGTGCAGTGGCTCCCATTGGCTGAGGCCAAGTCTTCAGAGACAGGTCAGCTGCAGGCCATATTCACAGCATCTGGGGGCCGAATGGGCCCGGCATCAGCAGCACCCACTGTAGGATGATCGCCTTCAGCTTTGTCCCTGTGCTCGGGTTCACATTCCAGGGAGGGGTGTCTATTTGGCATAGCTCACCTCATATGCCCATCCCTTAGGCGTCTGAATAAAGCTCCCTTGGCCTGTATCCGATGGAGAAAGAAACCGAAGCTTGAAAGAAGACCAGGGTGAAGGGCCAATGGATGCTGTAGAGCAAATCCACCACCAAAAATCCACTGAGATATTTTTCTGAAATCAGAACCAGAGTCCCATCTTTTCTGCCCCCACCACTACCCTCAGCGCAACTGACCTCCTCCTCCAGGTTGACGTGTACCCCAAGAATGCTTGATTCACGCATTTCCCTGGCTCTCTGCCCCTCTAGACAGTGTCCTTCTCTTCAGGGGGGCCCCGGACACTGCGGTGGGTCTCGAGTAAATGCCGGAGTTAGTGGTCAGCCCGGGGAGTGTCACGTTCCTCTCTCTGCACCGCCTGCCCACAGACACGGGTCAGAACGTGAGGTGTTAGGAGAGGGACATCTTTAGGCCTTCTGCTCCCACTCTGTGCTGAGGACGACTCTGGCTTTGCCTTCCTGGTTTCCCCCAACATACCCCCACCCCAGCTCTCCCCGTAGCAGCTGTCTAGGATCTTGTCATTGTTCCAGTTACTACACTGTATACCAAACCTCTCCAAAAGGCAGTGACACAGAACCCCCACCATCTTATGATCCTAGGTTCCGAAGGTCAGGAGTCCAAACACGCACAGCAAGGACAGCTCTTCTCTGGTCCACAGTGACCGGGGCCTTTGCTGGAAAGTGTGAACGGCTAGGGGCTGGAATCATCTGGAGACTTCTCCACTCACATGCCTCGGCACCTGGACGGGGATGATCCACAGGCTGGGCTCTCTGTGTGGCTTTTCACAGCTTGGTGGCCTTGGGATAGTTGGACTTCTTGAATGTTCCAGCTTCCAGAGTGCTTGAGGAGTGTTCTAGCAAACAAGGGCTTTAAGAGTGTCCCAGCAAATGAGGCAGAAGTGATGTGGCATTTTATGACAGCCTCAGAAATCACATAGGGTCACTGCTGCTACACTCCATTGGTCAGAGCAGCCGCAAGCCCTTCCAGAGTTAAGAGAAGGCAGATGCTTAACCATCTGAGCCACCCAGGCGCCCCAGCAACTGGTTATTTAAAAGAGTCAAGTGGGGGCCCCTGGCTGGCTCGTTCGGAAAAGCATGCAACTCTTGATCTTGGAGTTGTGAGTTTGAGCCCCACGCTGGGGGTAGAGATCACTTAAACATAAATAAACTTTAAAAAAATAAATAAAAATAAAATAGTCACAGTGGCACGAAGTCAGGAGGAAAGGACGAAGACTAAGGTTTGAGATCGATTTTTCCAAGGAGTCTGGGAAAGGGAGGTGACAGATCAGCTGCAGAGAAGGGGCATGGGAGGGAGGTGAACGGGAGGTGGACGGAGGAAGAGGGGTTTTAGGAGGTGTTGTTGAGTAACAGCCCCGTGTGAAATGGCATTTGGGTTGCTGAATCTGTTTCTTTTGCCCCGGACTGGCTGGCTCTGAGACTGAACTGCAGTGATCACGGCTTTGCAGACCAACCTGGGCCAGATCTAGCCAGCCTCACCCAGCCTGCCCCCAGAAACTTTCAGGGTGGAGGCACCTACTGTCATTTCCGTCGCCTCATTACCTAGGGTCAATGGGCAAGGCCATCTCATGCATAAACGCGTGCCCCAGCATCTCATTTCTCCTGGTGTTCATGCTCCCCTGCCCCTCCTCGTTCCCAGGGGCC